TTCAGAGCACTTACTATCTGCTAAAGTTGAATATGGTTTGTCCCCTCCAGAATTTATGTTGAAATTTAAAGCCCCTTATGAGATATTAAGACTTGAGACCTTCCCCATGGCTTGGAAGGCTGAGGTAGGAAAATAGCAAGTTCAAAGCCAGCATCAGCATCTTAGTGAGGCTCTAGGTAACTTAGTGAGATCCTGTCTCAAAATATTTTTAAAAAGGCTGGAGATGTGGCTCAGTGGTAAAGTGCCCTTTGGTTCAATACCCAGTACTAAAAATAAATAAATAAATAAAAAGTTGGGACCTTTAAGATTAGAGCTCTGCATCCATGAATGGATCAAGCCATTCATATGATTAATGGGTTAATGGGTTATCCCAAGAATGGATCTTCTATAAAAGCTGGTTTGATTAGGTTACTCCAGTATTCCCTGTCCATATCCACATAATGCCTTGTGCTGCCTCTGGACTCTGCCAGTGAGAAGGCCATCATGGGATGTGGCCCCTTGACTTTGGACTAGAATGGTGAGCTAAAATAAACCTTAAAAAAAAAAACAGCTTACCAGTCTGGTATTATGTTATCAGCAACAGAAAATGAACTAGGACATTAGCTGGATGATCATGTTTACTTGGTTATTGTCTATCCTACTAGAATGTGAGCTCCATGGTAATAGAAACTCTTTTTTTTTTTTAAATCCTTCACTGTATCTACAGCTCCTAGAACAATGCCTAAATGATGACAGATGCCAGTAACTACTTGTTGTATGTAAGGCTGAACGGAATGAAAGAACCTGGAAAGTTCTATACCCAAATTGTGCTTTGAACATAGGGGCCTGAGACAGTAACTCAAATGCTGTTAATATCTATATGTAATTAGCAAATTGTAAATCTGTGTGTGTGTGTGTGTGTGTGTGTGTGTGTAAGTAGAACCTTTATGTAGGATTTGTGAGGTGAGGGATAACTATAAAATCACTTCTACTCTGTTATTGAACCCACTTCATGAGACTGTACTTCATGAATTTTCTAGTCATTTTTTAGGAAGCAACAAGTACTTGCCCCTTTAAGTTTTATTTTAGTAATTAAAATGATTTAATGAAATAATTTTTGAAACTTCAAACTTCATAATTAATGCTTTTACTTATCCCTCATCTTAGCTATATTGCAGTTGTCCATGTTCAGTAGGAAAACAGGGCAGAGCTTAACAAATGTCTGTGTTTTTCCCCTTACCTCTCTTCCCTTGCCCAGCTTGCTATTAACCCTTGTTTCTTGCAGGGCAAGAGTAAGAGATGAATGAAGTTCTTCCTTAACTAATACTATTACAAATTAATTTTAGTGATTGTAGGTTCTTTAGAGATCCCCTCCCTATTGGTGGTGATATTTTTCTATTTTTAGTTACTTTAATGTGGGTAAATTTAGCTTCTCTAGTTGTCATAACTCCTTTAAAAATCTGGGGCATTAAAAACTCAAATTTATTGAGGTATAGTTTACATAAAATAAAATATACAGATTGATCAGTTTTGACAAATGTATACACATATAACAACCTCCAAAATCAAGATGAAGAAAATTTACCTCATATCTCTTCCTTCTAATTCCAAATTCCTAGGCATTGGCAGCATATCCCCTGCTTCCTTCTGCTGAGGTCTCTTCAAACTTTCAGTTATCTCTCAATAAGATTAAGAAACTCAACCAATTCTCCCTCTGAGATGGCCTGTATCTAGTCTGTGAGAAGCATCCATGCATCCCTTACCCAGAAAAACTATGGGAGCACAGGTTGTCTCACCGCTGTTACTTCATCTTGCTGTGCCATAGAGCACATAGTTAATTGTTCCCACTATTTACATTTTAGATTTTCTGGGGATGAGTGAGGTAGTAGTATTCTGTGTCCTCTAAACATGTTAATCACATTAATCTTCCAAGTTATTTCCTGGAAGGCTTTTCATCTTGAACTGAACTGGAGGTGGGACTTAAAGCACACTAATAATTCCTTCCAAAGAACCAGGTGTGATGGTGCACACCTGTAATCCCAGCAACTCCGGAGGCTGAGGCAGGAGGATTTCTATTTCAAAGCCAGCTTCAGCAAAAGCAAGGCCCTAAGCAACTCAGTGAGACTATGTCTCTAATAAAATTCAAAATAGTTCTAGGGATGTGGTTCAGTGGTCGAGTACCCCTGAGTTCAATCCCTGGTACCGCATGCCCCCCCCAAAAAATTCTCTCCAAAGTTTCCTCTCCATTAGCAGATTTTCTGGACCTTTACTCAAGGTGGGTGGGGCAATTGACAATTGCAAGCTCAGTTTCTTTTTCTTTTTGTAGTTGTAGATGAACAGAATGCTTTTATTTTATTTTTATGTGGTGCTAAGGATTGAACCTGTGCCTCACATGTGCTAAGCAAGCACTCTACCATTGCGGCCCAAACTTGGTTTTCATAATCCCCTTTTTACAAGCCTTGAGTGGTCATCTCAAACCTCACTTTGGAATGTGGCATTTACTGTCTTAGCTCCTTAGTAGAGATACAAATCTCCTAGTATGCACATAAACCACCAGAAGTGGGTGGTGATTATTCAGGAGCTTTGGGGGATATTACTGGTTCAAACTGTATTTTTACAGATGCCTTAGTTGGAAGACCATTAATAATTATGTATCATAAAAAGAGGCCCCTAAAGTATAACTTCAAACTAGATACAGAAGGATGAGCTTCATTTTGAAATGAAAGGATAAGAAGCAAGTTTAAGAAAAATAAAAGGTAGTAGATATCATTCACTGAAAAACATAAAAATCTAAGTGCTAGCATTTCTGCTTGGAGAGAGAGAGAGAATGAATGAGAATATTATTGCCCTAAAAAATATGATCATTCAAAATGGTCTAGCAGAGAAGGCAGAGAAGTAAGCCATAATTAAAAGGGGCCTATGAATGATCAAATATTCAAACTTTGGAAAATGGAAAGAAAGGAAAGGTGCAAGGTACTCTCGCACAAGAAAGAGGCAGTTAACTCAGAATATGAGATTGTGTTATTTTTCTGGAAGAAGTTACCCTATCTGAGTTAAGAGCAGATATTAAACAAAGAAGGGATGAAAGTATGGAGAGAGAACAGAAAGAGCCAAGCCATAAATGCTTCTGAAGATGATGGAACCTTTAGTTCTGAAATGATGTGGTATGGCAAGAATGAGATTATATAACAGATGTGATAGCATACTCTTGTTATACCAGTGACTTGGGAGGCTGAGGCAGGAGGATCACAAGTTCCAGGTCAGCCTTAGCAACTTGGTGAGATCCTGTCTAAAACAGAACAACAACAACAACAACAAAAAGACCTGGGAATGTAGCTCAGTGATAAAGTGTCCCTAGGTTCAATCCTCAGTGTCCCACACATACCCACTCATACCATAGCAGATGTTGCTATAGTGAGAGCAGCAGGATTAAGAATAAGAAAGGGAAAAATTGTCTATAGCCATACCACACTGAATGTACCCAATCTTGGAAACTAAGTGGGGTTGGGCCTAATTAGTTCTTGGATGGGAGAAAGGAAAAAAAATGAAGACGTTTCTGATTCAGAATCTGGAACTTACTGAGTAGATTTGGGTTAGAGGAATAGTGGAGAAGAGTCCAGCACAACTTCCAAGTTTCTGGTTTGAGCTCTTGGGTAGTGTTGCTATTTATGAAAATAAGACATACAGGTAGAGAAGCAGAAGACTTCAATATTCTTTCATTCATTCAACAGACATTTATTAAAGATTTAGTGTATGCTGGGTCTAGAAAGAAAATCAATGATTACAATGCCTCCTAACAAGTATGTCTGATAGAGGTATGTATAGAGAAGTAATTGAGTACATAGGGCAGGCATATAAACCACATTAAAGAATTAGGAAAACCTCCTGGAAGAGATATGCCTAATCTGAGCTTTTTTTTTTTTTTTTTAAATTGAGGTGAGCAATGCATAAAATTAACCATTTAAAAGTATACAATTCAGTGGTGCTTAATATATTGAGTGGCATCAAACCATCATCTTTCTCTTAATTCCAAATAACCTGAATTTGAAGGATGACTAAAAATTCACTAGATAAAGAAAGGAGTGGGGGAAAGCATTTTAGAATATGAGAACAGTATATTTTATGACATGAAGACCAGAAATTCATGACTAGTCATGGAAGACAGGGCTAGAGAGGGCCCAATAATAAAGTGTCCACATTTTAACTTGATCTAGAAAGCTTGGGGAGTCCTCAAAGGATGGTAAACTGGCGCTTGATATAACACAATTTTCCTTTCAGAAAGATTACTCTGGAAATAATATTATTGATGCTGTTGAAGGGAAAGAATCAGATAAATTAAGTTGGAGATTTTATGCCAGAATCCAAGTTAAGAGTTGATGAAAGTCTGAGCAAAGGCAATGATAGCAATAGTGGAAGGGAAGATAAAACAAGAAATAAGGATAGAGAATTTCATGACTTGATTACTGACTGGATCTTCAATCTAGAGGAAGAAGTAAAGGATGATTCCCATCTTTCTGCTTTGGATCACTAGAATGATGGTGGTGGCATCCTATTAAAATCTGGGGGAAAATGATCAGGTTGAGCAGGTTTGAATTTATGTTTCCAAAGCCTCAGCTAAGTGAAAGATCTCAGAGTTGGTTTAATATATGGATCTATACCTCCCCAGAGAGATGACGGCTACCATCTTTCTGTTGGTAAATGAAGTCAAGAGTTTGGACAAAGTCACTAAGAAAAGGGATACAGGGAAAAATGAGCAGAGAACCTATGATGGAGCTTTAGGAACCAATATTTAAGGAATACAAAGAGGAAAACACTATAGAGATAAAAGGTGTGGTCACCTGAAGCAAAGATAGAGTTTAGCAAGACAGGGCAGAAGAGTGGAACTGAAAAAAAGGGGAGACAGCCAAGAGGGAATATGTTGGTCTAATTTGAAGGGGGAAAAATGTGAGGGGTCTGTGGGAAAATGATATTGCTCAGACTATATTATAATCACTTGGACCCCAATAAGCCACACAAATCTCTTCACTCAAAAATATGCAATTTATTTTACCATAAACTTCTTAGAAACAATATTCCAAATATATACAATTTCTTCTCAAAATAATTTTATGGAATGAAGACAGATGCTCATCAATTATGGTTATATCCCCCTAAGACATGAGTTCTAAAAAAATCCTCTCCATTTTTCCCATCCTGGTTCTGAGGTCTGATCATGCATCAGTTCTTGGGTCAAAGGGGTCAAAAGAGAGGGGAAGAAAGCAAAATATTGAGCAACTTATCCCAGCAAGAACCACATCCTTTTTTGGAGTCCAGAAACTCTCCTTTGGCTTCTCAAGACCAACTCTCCAAAGCTGCCTCCCACTTTTGCTATCAGGGCCAGCAAAATACTCACTCTAAATCTCCCAAATAAACCTAAGAAGAGTGAGTGCTAGGATGGAAATACGTTCCTATGGGCCCCTGGGAAGGTTATGCTCTGGGTATGGGAGATAGGGTCCAAAGTAAGATTCTTAGGTCCTATCTTCTTTTTCTCCTTCCCTGCACTGTCCCTCTACCACCTCTACTTCCACATTTGCTTTTCTGGATTAAAACTTGAGAGGGATGGTGGAAGGGAAGCCTGAGATTGATTTTTCTTGAAATGCTACAACTCTGGCAGATATCTGAGGACTCTTTCCTTACCTCTTGCCTTACCTGGGCACAGCCTTTCTGGGGAATGAAGAGGCTGAGTCCCAGTCCTGAGAGTGGAGGAGCAGGTTTATGCTGTTCCCAGGGACTCTAATCCCTCCTTTCTAAATTGCATGTATACAAGGGAGGAAGAACAATAACTGACTGTTTTTGGGTTTCCCTAAGGGCTCTACTTTTTAAGAGGAAAGCTGTTTTTCTTGGCCTTTGTTGTCTTTCCAGAAGTGATGAGGGCCCCAAAGCCCTGTTTGTGGGAGAATGCATAGGCAGAACGTCGCAGGCCTAGGTGTTTCACTTTGGTCCGGACTTGAACTTGTGGTGGCGATATCTTGCCATAATGAATTGTGTCCAAAACCTGTATCCAGAGCATGGGGGACGGGGTTTTATTCACAAAGGCAAAGGGGAAAAGGATTATAAATCATATCTGGGTAGGCTCCCTGTTCCACTTACCTTGTCCACACTGAGAGGCCAAATTAGTGGTTGGAGAAACTGGTACCCAAATGCAGGAATTATACAGAGGATCACACTGAGGATAAGGCCCAGCCACAATTGTGACTGGTTCATAGTGTTCCTAGCCACACCTGTACACAATGAGCAAGGAGGGGTAAGGCAAACAGTCTGGAGAAAGGGGAGAGGTTAGGAGTGGGCAGTATTAGCCAGAACTTAGATAGCTCTCTAGTCCAAAGAAGGATGTTATTGATTTGGAGACAGTCTGGTCTCCTGAGGAATGATATAAATGCAAAATAATTGCAGTTGGGTCCTTTGTGCAGTCACTGTGAATTTACATACTTTTGTCTCCCTCTACAGGCTGGGCAGGCAGGAGAGTGGGGGTAGGTAATGGGGAATCCTAGTACATTGGCTTGTATACAAAAATGGGACAGAAAGCTTTAGAGGAGAAAAGTGAGTTAGTGGCCTGACAAGAGATAGAAGCCAAGGACATCTATATGGCTACTCTTTCTGTATTTTATCCTCATGAAGTGGACTTGAGACAGAGAGAAATGAATACAGGAGACAATAAGGCAGTAATGCTACAGTATAAAGGATGTTGACTGGAATCAGGAGACCTATATTGAGTCATTTAATTGAAAAAAACCCTCCAGTCTCCAAAATGGTGCTAATAATTCTTGCCCTGCCTACATCATAGTATTCCCGTGAAGATCAAACTAGATATTTGAAAAAAAAAATCATGGAAACTCTAAGGTAAAATATTTTTGAATCCTATCTAGGTAGTCCTACCTAGATTTTGAGTCCCTTTAGGTTAGAGATCATTTCTTATCTCTTTATTCACAGAGCTTAGCACATAGTAATAGCCTCTCAGTAAACATTTATTTAATAAATATACTTGGTACCTCCCCCACCTACTGGCCAGGGTCTTACCTAGGAATTGAAAGATGGTGGGGAACATTAGACACAAGCCATCACTGTACAGGAAGAATAAGATGCAAAAGTAGAAACCCAGGCTACCCCAGATGAAGAAGTGGCTTATCATCGTCCAGTAGGTTGTCTGCAGGGCAATCTGAAAAGCACTAGGTTATGTGCAATACCCTATAACCTGCGATCTCTAGTAGCCACCTCCCTTCTCCAATTCTGTGATGGAGAATGCTCCTTTCTGTCTCCCCCCCTCCTTACCTCCCTGTCTTTCTAGACAGCTCCCCATCCAATCCCCTCATTCCCACTGCTAGTGGCCACACCTGCACTGTGACCACCCAGATTAAGGAGGTTTGTACTAGCAGGCAAAAGGTCTGGATGTCGGAGATGTCCTTTCCATCACTGCGTGCTGAGTTGTAAATTGTTCCCATGGGGACAAAGAACAGCACAAAGGAACTGTAGATCCCGTGTAATAAACACTTCACAAATTCCTTCTTGTTGAAATAGAGGTTGTGCTGGCCTGGGATATACAGCTCTGGGAAATGTAGGCTCCATGTTTCATTCACATCCTGGAAATACCAGAGGGAAGGAGGAAGGCTCAGAGTCTCTCCATAGAAGGTCCCATCTCCATCAGAGTAGAGGTGTCTCCCCTCATTTGTGTCTGCTGCCAGGCTGCCTAGGAGCTTCCTCATGGAGTACTTGAGAAGTGGAACCAGAGAACAGGGCAGTGACCACAGACCCTTCCTGAAGTCCTCCTCTCTAGGCAAGGATCAAGGTAGTAGAAGGAAGCTAGGAGAAGGTCAGGATGATGAGAAGCACTTGGAGGCATTCAGGATTAGAGAATTGTGAAAGGGAGTTTGGTTTGGGGGTAGCTGTAAGGGAGGACTGGAGCTTGGAATGGAATGGGGGTGGCATTAAAAACATGGGTCCCCAAGTGTAAGTGTTCCTTTAGTTTTGTTTTTTTTTTTTTTTTTTTGTGTGTGTGTGTGTGTTAAAAGCTAATGGGTAAAGAACAGGAAGCCAATGGGGGACTAGTTAGTCCTTCGGAAACATCTGTGTTCATGATGTTCTTCCTATTCCCTCCCATAGCTACTGATGAACTCAAGGTGGGAGAATTCTCTGTATGAATGATGCTGGCTTGTCTTCATTTTCCAAATATGAAACTTGAAATTCAAAACTTGGGGCATGGCTTCAGTGGTAGATGACTGGAACTAGATCATCGAAGCAGGATAGTACTACTGAGTAACACAATCTATCCCTCTTGTCTTTCTGAGGTTTGGCGACTACTTCATGTAGAATTTCTTTCAGTGCTACTACCCTGATGGAGACTGGGAACCATGATTCCATGATGTCCTATTTCAGTTGCTTTACAACTCTTTGGATGCTCCTTGTCTACTGTGGTGCTCAGGAGTTGAGACTGGCATAGAAGAGGCGGGGGAAGGGATACTAGGACCCTCAACATGCAGAAAATTTCTGAGAAGGACAAAGGGTATATCCTGGTCTAGCTCCCTGTGATGCATGGAATACACATGCTCCCATGCTTGTTCCTTAGGACTCCCCACCTAGTCTTTCCTGCTTGGCTTAGCTCATCCTCATCATCTCTAAATGGTAATCATCTTTGGTTTTTTTGTTTTTGTTTTTGGTATGAGGGATTGAACCCAGAGGCACTCAACCACTGAGTCACATCCCTGTCCTTTCCTTAATTTTTATTTTGAGATGGTCTCATTAAGTTGCTTAGGGCCTCACTAAGTTGATGAGGCTGGCTTTGAACTTGAGATCCTCCTGTTTCAGCCTACAAGCTGCTGGAATTACTGGCATGTACCACCACACCCTGCTAGGGAATCCCCTTTCTTGAAGCCCCTTGCTTTACCCAGTCCTGATCCAGTAGCTCTCTTTCATTTTACTACTTTTGGATACACTCAATGTACTATACAGCATAATTTCCATGTTTCTCTCTCTAAAGATAAAGTTGAGACAGGAAAACCTGATTTTTAAAAACTGGTGATTATTTTCAGTGCAGGAGGATTTTTTGTTTTTCTCATGATACCTATTCCAGGCAATAAGCTCCTTTACTTGCTCTAGAAATTATTTTCTTTACAGTTAATTTTGTTGAGTTCAGTTCTTGCTCTTTACCCCACTCTTGGGAATATTCCTCAAGGGTTCAGGGGCTTCAACCCTGACTGAGAGGCTTGCTTCTGGTCTTACCTGATCAAATAGACTCAAGCCCAGGACAGGGAGGGAGGTGTAAATCAAATTGTAGCAGGTGATAAACCAGGTATCATAGACTGCCTGGAAGAATACCAAGGAGATTTTTAAATTCTCCTCTCTCCTCCAAAGTCCCACCTCCACCTCCCAGGCCCAAGATAGCCCTCCCCTGGCTGCCTTAGTCACCACCATACTAACCCAGAGTTAGTATGGATTTCAGAATTTGACTGAGAGCTCCAATTTTTTATTTGATCCTACTGTATGTAGAACCCTCTGTCCAAGGCTGGTGCCAGGCCACATCAAGCTTTCAATGCTGATCTGCACCATAACCTGCTCTGCTCCTTCCTGCAGAGAAAGGACTCAAGAGTGGAGCCACACCTAGGCACTACCAGGCAAGTAAACCTTTAGGCTGTTTTCTTTTTCTGCCTTATATGGGTTCAGTGGCTTCTGTAGCACTGGACATCTAACACTGGCAAAGGGAATAGATTCATCGAACCTTCTACAGCTGGGTGTTCCATTCTGGGAACAAGAAAGGAACTCTTTCCTTACTATCCACAAGAGGTCAGCAGCAACACATGTAGCACACACACACACCTCCCACAAACCAGACTGGCTTGGCTAGGCCCTGAGGGTATACAGTCTCCCACAGTCCACAGTCTGCTGACTGGTCATTTCTGAGGTGGTTTCTTTTGGTAATCTTGACAGACTCCTGAAAAACTTATAGGAAGGGGACTGCTCTTAAAACATCAAAATTCAGGTGTCACTTTTCCCCAGAATGGTTACGGAAATTTCATATTTCAAATGAGGAATTAATTCACCCAAGCAGCAACTGTGTGTGTGTGTGTGTGTGTGTGTGTGTGTGTGTGTTTGGGACAGGGGTGCAGGCAGTCAGGGTAGGAAGGAGAAGTAAAGGGAAGCTGTAGTGAATGTCAGAATAGCTTGTCTGGCAGGACCCAGAGGCCTTAGCCTATTCCATAGGATATTTTGGATGCTAAGAAAAATTCTAGGTCCATCAATATTTCCCATCACATGTGTTTGGAAATTATAATGCCAATGTTAAAGAAAAAGTGAAACTAACTTATTAGGAAGATTTCTGAAGGTAGGTATTAAGAACAGAGCTAGGCCAGAATCTTTATGGTTTGGAAATCTACAATTAGTGCAGGGTTGGGAGATGGGATCAATATGGGGTGAAAAGCTTTATGGGTTGTCATAAAGCTATGGATGGATGGCAGTGTGTCATACATTGGTCTCTAGAGGTAGAAAAAGGTCTGAGCTTGTTAAAGTGTGAGTGACTAGAGAAGACCAAGATGATTAGGGTCACATGCCTTTGATCATGCTGACATCATTGGCCCCATCCCCAATGAACTCCTACCTGTGCAGAGAATCCGTTGAAGAAAGCATACCAGAAGTGCACCAAGGTGAAGACAAAATTCTTATAAAAGAAGAAGCTGAGAAATTTGCACATGCGATTATAAGACCAGCGGCCATGTACCAACAGCAGACGTTGAAGGTAGCGGAACTGGGAGAAGGCAAAGTCACTGTTGAGCATGGCCTGCATCCCCTCCTGGCCGCTGATGCCGACCCCAATGTGGGCAGCTGCAGTGAAAGCCCAGAAGATTCTAAGCCACAGAGCTTATTTGTTAAGACTCCCACCCTGAGAAATGTAAAGGAAATGCTGGATAATGTTGCATAAACCCCGTGTTTTACATTTGGAAAATACTCAGGCTCAATTCAAAATGGCAGTTCCTTAAGTAGAGTCCTTCCCCCTTAATGGAGTGCCCCTCCCCCACAACCTGGAAAACAGTCTCTTTCTGTACTTTTTTTGAATGCTGCCACTCAAGAATGCCTGGTATGGCCAGTAATAACTCAAAAGTTGTCCCAGATATTTTTTGCTTCTACTCTATCCCTTTAGACTCTTTCCCACATCTAGATGTTAAGGTTTAAATATCTTATTATCTATGGAAGTCACTTAAATCAAGGATGCAAAATGGATGCCAATCTAATACAATATTTAATTATTTAAGTTTACCTAAGGGACTGAAACCTGAACTATTGGGAGCAATAGTTTTTCAGTGAAAGATAAACTCTTCAGTAGGTCTCAGGAGAATTTTTCTGGATAAAGCAAAGATTGTACTTGATGGAATATAAGATTGAAGTTCCTAAAAGTTTTAATCAGTCTGTGGTAATTCACTATTATTCTGGTCAAATTCACTGATCTGGTATATACCTCCTACTGCATTGCTTAATCTCAGGCTCTAAAGACCAGAGTGATTCTAGAAACGGTTAAGATAGCAAGAACACTTGATAGTATTGAAATTGAGGCTGGAATATCTGCTAGTGTTTCCTGTGTGGGTAAAGAGATGAGACTAGAGGACCTCTATATTTTGTCCATATCTCCCTGATCAACAAACTGCTGGAGGCTAATAATATTCATCTGAAATTAAAACAAGTAAATTTCAGCCATTTGCTTTTATTGGTCCAAAGTGATCACTAAATCTATTCTCTCCCAGCCAGGGGAACCAGGGCAAGTTCTTGGGAACACAGCGTTGGGCTGCATTAGGCCTCATAGCCTACATCCTTCAAAAAAAGAGCAGACTATGACTCCTGCCCAGGGGTTCTTTCTGTGGGCCTTGATGTCATCTCAGGTGGTATGGTAGTTGTATAGCTTGTTGTTTTATGAATGAATACACATATTCTTGTGGGAGCCATGAGTTTCTATGTATTTACCTTCATAGTTAAGTAAATGAATCTGAACACTTGTGGATATGGGCAAATATCTGCAGGTGTAAATAAGTGGGAATGCAGGTGTAGAGGAACAGGAATGGAGTTGCAAAACATTATCACTGTGTACTGCTTAATAGGTAGGAGTATGAGTCAGCAATACAATGCCACTCAGATCAATTTTGCCCATGAAGGAAGAAAGAGGCAAGTCATGACTGAGGACTAATGCCCCCCCTTCTGCTCACATGCCTTTGATCATGCTGACGTCATTGGCCCCATCCCCGATGGCCAGTGTCACCACCTTCTTGTACCTCTTCACCAGCTCTACCACCTGGGCCTTCTGGAAGGGTGTCATCCGGCAGCAGATTACCCCCTTGCACATGCTTGCTGTTCGTAGCAGTTCCAACTCCAGGTTCCCTTCTAGAGCATAAGCCTGCAACACCAAGACATACCCACTCTTCAAGTTGCCCAGAAATGACCTTTCGAGTTTCCTCCCCTTGCATTCAAACTCTTTTCTTTCATAGGGTAGGCATAGCTGCTCCCAAGGTTATCTACCCCAAAGGAAGGCCAAACCCCTAAGGCAATTCTAGGTATTCTCTGGCTGAGCCTCAAATGGGAAACTAGTCAGGCCTCTCATTAAGTCAAATCAGTTGATAGGGCTATATGAGGCTAAGTGACTTCTTGGCGGTCTGGTTCTGCTGGGTTCCTGTTTCTTCTAAGTGACAGGTCACATCAGTAGTAAAGAATTTGGATCAAGAAGGAGTTTTCCCTTGGCTTTCCTTTCTTCATTTATTCATGCCAAGAGTATCTTGGGGAAAGGTGTCTTTCAGGCATTGGCATCTGAGAGATGGGCAATAGGACAGCTAAGAATAGGGAAGAGGTCTTGAAATTTCCCTGAAGTGTGTTGAACCTAGGAAGGGAGTTCCTTGGAAGAAGAGTTATAACTCTATTGCCTACCAGACTGTAGCCACTGATGATTAAGCCATAGTCACCAGAGGGCACCTCCTCAGGCATTGTGAAGGACCTTTTGGACTTCCTCTTTAGGTAAATGTTGATTGGGTCTGATTCCAGTAGAGATTCAGGTTTCATCCTGCCCCTTGCTGTCCTGAAAACCAAGAATAGTGGTCAGAGCTTAGGAAAATGTGCCCATGGTGAAAGTAGTCAAGAAAGGTACAAGTACTCTACAAAGCACTGGCCAGGACCTTAGACTTGACTGTCTCTTGAGACCTGCTACTGCTGTAGGTTCCTGAGCACCATGAACCTCACTTCTCCATCCTCCACACTCCAACTCCTCTAGTCTGAGTGCTTCTTTATAAAATTCTCTTAAATATTCAGATTTTCCTCCCTGCTGCATTTCTTCTTTATTCCTTCTGATGTTGTAGAGTTCACATTGGGGGAAGAGACGTGTAGGGAATCTTTGGTCTAGGGATTAGCTGTGGCCACCCTCCAAACTGTACCTGAGTTCTTGCAGAATTGTATCATTGTCCTTGCCTTCAATCACAAACACCTCATCCATTTCATCCTCAAATACATTACAGGAGTAGGCAATGTTCACAGCAGTTTCTGTAGGAAAGGCAACACAGATCTCATTTTGGCTGGCGTTTATAGATTGGGACAGGGTTGTCACAGGGTATAGTTTACATACGCACTAACAGTGGGCTTCAACTTCACTTGTCTACATTTGCCTTGGATGCAAAGTTTATTTTTTATGAATCAGTGAAAATCTCATTCAAACATTGACAGATGAGTGTCTACTTGGTACAGATTTGTGAATAATTTATTAATAACTAGAACCATTCAGGCTTAGCTTTCTCTAGAAAGCCTTTTCCTATTGCTGAAAGTAAAATCTGTCTGTATCCACTTCTGTAGGCAATCAGGATATATTTCTTAGAACATGACTGTGCCTATTTATCGCCCCCGCCCTTTTTGGCAGTACTAGGGATTGAACCCAGGAGTACTGTACCACTGAGCTGTATCCCCAGCCTTTTTAATTTTTAAAATTTAATTTTGAAGCAGGGTCTCACTAATTTGCTCAGGCTAGCTTCAAAGTTGTGATCCTCTTGCCTCATCTTGAGACTATAGGGATGTACCACCACATTCAGCTCCATCCTAGACTTTATGGGGAACTGAGGCATGTTTAAGTTGTATCCCTTCTTTACATTAGAAAACCTGGAATTTGAAATAAATTCATACAAAGGAAAACATTTTTAAAAATTAAGTCCTGAACCCTGGCCACAAGTAGTATCGAAATTCAGAAGAGAGATTGCAATTGTCACAGGAACTTTCTTGAAGGAAGGCCTTGAAGGATGAGTAAGAGTGTTACGGGTGCTTGCTTTGGCAGCACATATACTAAAATTGGATGGATACAGAGAAGTTAGCATGGACCCTGCATAAGGATGACATGCCAATTTGTGAAGTGTTTCATATTTTTATTTATTTTTTTTTTTAGAGAGAGAATGAATTTTAATATTTATTTTCTAGTTTTTGGCGGACACAACATCTTTGTTTGTATGTGGTGCTGAGGATCGAACCCTGGGCCGCACGCATGCCAGGCGAGCGTGCTACCACTTGAGCCACATCCCCGCCCTCATATTTTTAATACTTGGGAATAAATCTAACCAAGGAGGTGAAAGACCCCCTAAAATAAAAACTATAGAACACTGAAGAAAGAAAATGAAGACCACCTTAGAAGATGGAAAGACCTTCCATGTTATTGGATATGCAGAATTAATATTGTCAAAATGGCCATATTACCAAAAAGTATTATACATATTCAACGCAATCTCCAACAAAATACTAATGATATTCTTCACAGAACTAGAAAAAATGGTCTTAAATTCATTTGGAAGAATAAAAAACCCAGAATAGCCAAAGCAATCTTGAGCAAGAAGAGTGATGCTGGAAATATCACAATACCTGATCTCAAATTATACTACAGAGCTATAGTAACAAAAACATCACAGTATTGGCATCAAGATAGACATGAAGACCGGTGGAATAGAATAGAAGACACAGAGTCAATCCCACATAGTTAGAGTCATCTGATACTTGACAGAGGAACCAAAAATATATGTTAGAGAAAAGACAACCTTTTAAACAAATGGTGGTAGAAAAACTGGATATCCATATGTAGAAGAATGAAACTAGAACCCTATCTCTCACCTGGCCCAAAAGTTAAATCAAAGTGGATCAATGACTTAGGAATTGGGCCCCAAACTTTTCAGCTTCTAGAAGAAAACATAGGTTTAACAGCCCAACATATTGGCACAGGCACCAACTTCCTTAACAAGACCCCTAAAGCTCAAGAAATAAAACCAAGAATCAGTAAGTGGGATAGCATCAAATTAAAAAGCTTCTGCACAGCAAAGGAAATGATTAAGAGCATGAAGAGACAGCCAACAGAATGAGAGAAAATCTTTGCCAGTTACTCCTCTGACAGGGGATTAATATCCAGAATATATAAAGAAATCAAAAAGCTTAACACCAAACTAAAGCAAACCAAAACACCCCAAATAATCCAATGAATAAATGGGCAAAAGAATTAAATAGATAATTCTCAAAAAGAAAGAAAGAAAACAAATGACCAAAAAATGTGTGAAGAAATTTCAACATTACTGGCAATCAGGGAAATGCAAATCAAAACTACATTGAGATTCCATCTTAATTCTAGTTAGAATGACAATCATCAAGAATACAAATAATAATAAATGCTGGTGAAGATATGGAAAAAAAGGTACACTTATACATTGTTGGTGGGACTGTGAATTAGTACAATCATTTTGGAAAGCAATATGGAGATTCCTCAGAAGAACAGGGATATTAACCACTATATATATACCCAGCTATCCCACTCCTCAGTATTTACCCCAAAGAACTAAAATCAGCACACTATAATGAGACAGGCACATCAGCACAATTTACAATAGCCAAGTTATGGAACCAGCCCAGGTGCCTGATGAATGGATTAAGAAAACATGGTATGTATACACAGTGGAGTTTTACTCAACCATAAATAATGAAATTATGGCATTTACCAGTAGATGGATAGATCCGGAGAGTATCATGCTGTGAAATAAGCCAGACTCAAAAAATCAAGAGTCAAATGCTTTCTCTCATATGTGGAAGCTAGAGGAAAATAAGGGGAGGGGGAAGGGAAGCTAGAGGAGGGAATGAATTCATAAGAATAGAGGGAAGATCTGTGGAATAGAAGGATATTGAGGGGAAGGAAAGAGGGACAGGAAAGGGGAGGAAATGCAGACTGAATTTGAAAAAATTATGCTATGTGTATATATACATATAATAGTGAACTTCACCTTTATGTATATCTATAAAGCACCAACTAAAAATAAATAAGTAAATAAGTAAAAGGAAGGCCAGCAGGGTAGAAGAAGAAAAATAGTGTGTGGGAGGAGGGGAGGGGAAGAGGAGGCACCAGAGACCAAAATGGAACAAATTAAATTTAATGTATGCATGATTATGACAAAATGAACCCAACTATTATGTATAACTATAATGTACTAATAATAAAAGAGAAATATTTTAAGCTAAAGCTACTCCTCTATCCCCCACAAAAAAAGTGTTTAAGGAAAGGAAAAGGTATTTCAAGTAGGGAAACAACCCAAACATAGACCCTAGAGTAGGAATTGGTTTGTTTGGGACATATTGAAGATAATGGTTATATTAGGATGCAGATAAGGTTGTATAGGTAGCAATGGTTTACCAAGAACTTCCTTTCTTTTTCTTTTCTTTTCTTTTCTTTTTTTTTTTGAAGAAATGGAGATTGAACCCAGGGGTGCTTTACCACTGAGTCACATGCACAGCCTTTTTAAAATTTTGATACAGGGTCTGCTAAATTGCCCAGACTGACCTTAAACTTGAATTCTTCTTGCCTCAGCCTCCCAAGTCACTGGAATTATAGGCATGTGCCCCCACATCCAGTTTCAAGGTCTTGAAGATCAGATAGAATCTGACCTTTATAATGTAGAATCCCTGTAGGTCCCTGAGCAGAGGAGTAACACCATAAAATTTGAGGAAAATTAAACTGATGATTGTATATAGGCCACGCTGAAATTAGTAACGGCAAAAGACAGATCAATTCAGAAATTTTTGTAGAACCACAACAGAGGATGAAGGTTGAACTAGGGAGATGACATAGTCAAGAGGATTTTTCAGAAGAATTGGTGGGACATGCTAAGAAAATGGATATTGGAGACAACAGAGAGTGTACAAAGATAACTTTAAAGTTTTTAGCCTAGCTACTCTGGAGGCTGAGAAAGGAGGATAGCAAGTTTGAGGCCCCCCCTAGGTAATTTAGTGAGACCTTGTCTCAAAATGAATAAATAAATAAATAAAGTCGGGGTCGGGGGTGTTGAGAATGTAGCTCAGTGGTAGAGCACCTACCTAGCATACATGAGGCCCTGGGTTCCAATACTGGGTTCAATACTGCAAAAAATAAAAAAATGAATAATAAAGTTTTTAGCTTTTAAGTTCCTGGCTGAAACAGGGGTCATGTTTGATTGATTGATCATCTGTATGTTTTCATTGAAAAATACAGCATCTGGCATACAGTGCATGCTCAGCAAATTGTATACAAAATTAGACATTGAAGGGACTTCATCTGAGTTACAGGTATTTGTCAAGAAAATTGGTAAGAAAAAAGGAAAATAAAGAGGAAAGAAATGGTTAAAGTAGGTGAGGAAGAGAGTCATGCAGGCTAGGAGCTTTCTTTTACCTTGCTTATCACCAGTTAAAACCCATATTTTGATTCTGGCTTTGTTCAGGGTGATGATTGTCTCAGGCACTCCATCTTGCAGTTTGTCTTCTATGCCTGTGGCCCCTAACAGCTTCGAACAGAGAGATCAATGAGTGAGGAAGAGAGAGAGAGAGAGCGCGAGAGCACTATATGCTACCCAACAACTGAACTGGCACTTCAGTGTTATCTTCAGTGAGCTAGCTCTGTCCTGGAGGATCCTGGTGGCATAGCACTCTGCATACTTTGCCTCTCTACACATACAACTTTTCCACCACACATTGAAATCAAATTTAGAAAATTAGTATTAGGTACCAGAGAGGGAAGGGATTTGCCTGAGTCATTCATGAAGTTATGTGCTACTTCTAAACCATCTGTTTCTCAGTACACCTTCACTTCTCCCTTGCTTTACTGCATACTTCCTGTCCTCAAATGTGGCAAGTCTTAAGGAAGGATCTCTGTATCCTACTCCAGTTTTCCCTTCAGCCCTACAAGGGCTTGGGTGTACTTTGCTATTGTACCTATTAGAAATATCTAAGGGTTCCAAGACATTTTTCCACATTAGATTAAAAGAATCTTGACCCAACATCATGCTTTCTCTCTCTAATAACACAACAGTGCGGAGACAAGAATAAGCCCAGAGAACTGACAAATGGATGAATTACTGATTCTGCCAGGCCTGTAGAAGGACTGAATGTAGAAGGAGATTAGGGATCTCTATATTTTCCCTTTGGTGTCAGTCATTTCTGTTTATAGCAGGGCTGGCCTGTATCAGATTGGTCAGAAATGTCAGGGTCATTCTTAATATTTCTTTTTCTCATCCTCAATAGTCCAATCCTGTCGCGACCCCTCGCCGGCAAGGGAAAACACGACACAGGATTCTTCTTTCAGCAGTTTATTCAGGCCTTGTTTCATGTATCATCTTCTAGTGACCCCCCCCACCGAGCGCCCAAGCACAGCCTAATAAAGCCTCCCGCATACCAATCCCAAGCTGCCACGTGGATCTCTCTCATAGGGTGGTAAGGGATTGTGCGCCAACTCTCCAAAAAAGGAGTTGTTTATCACAGGCCACAGTGGAAGCCGGCGCCATCTTCTAATGGCGGCCACGGTCTATAAGAATGGCTTACCACAGTTCCCCCTTCTATTTTATAAAACAATGCAGGCGAAAGTAGAGGTCCTATCCCACTGTGCAGAAGTGGCTGCAGTGTATGGTTCAGTCCTAAGGAGGGCCCTTCCCTAGACCTGGTCCCATATCAGCCGACGCCTTTTTTCGTAGGGCGGGGCGTGGACATCAAACCCGCATGCAATAGGACATGCTTTCCTTGAGGTCCGTTGATGGATCACTCAAGTGCAGTGCCTTGCCTCGCATCCTGCATCGTGATGACGATGAAAAAGAAAGGGGATTTTACAAGTAGCCGGTCAGTGACTATGAGGTTGGAAGTGGCAACACCATCCCTCAGCCCCTGAGAAAACGAAGGGTCCAAAGCATAAAGTGCAGCACCAGCATGGAAGCCCACCTGCGTGCAATGGCAACAAGGCCTGCAGAGTGCATGGGCCTTCCATAACTGGGAAGGCAGGAAGAGGAGGGCATGCCAAACCCAGTGCAATGTCAAAGATGACTTGGGGTGCAATGGCCAAAACCCAGGAAATTATTGCTTAAGTTGCGCAAGCCAAACTTGTGGAGAGATACCATTCTCTAGGGCTGCAAAAGCCGGGACGATCATAGCCTTTTCTTGGCTATGGCGAGCTCTTAGGCGACAGAAAAGCCACAGACAAAGGACAATCCCAAAACAACATATCGCTCCAAAAATGCCTACTCCCACCCATTCCTTAAAGAAAGAAAAAGCAGAAGACAGCCAATTCGTAAATTGGCCCAATGTCACAGGGTCCACACGAGTGTTGTTCAACATGGCAATTTGTGTCAGTTGGGTCTGGATCAACTTCTCTGCTTCCATGGACCAGTTTCCAGCCAGGTACTGTCCAATGATTTGAGAGGTATTTCTGGAATCATTAAATCTGAGAGATGTTATACATAGATGTGCACGATGATCAACACAACCCAAATGTACTAGGTCTGACAATTCCTCAATCTGAGCTTGGAGGAGATCCACCCTTTGATTAACGGCCAAAATTCCTGATAAAATATGTTGATTGATTTTACTTTGAGACTCTAAAATGCTGGAAGTTTGTTGGATGACCTGATTAACCGTGGCCGCAGTTTGCACTTGACTAGCCATGGCCACTCCGGTAGTGACCGCTGCAGCAGCAGATATTGCAACCGCTGTTACAATAGCTGCCATGATTCCAAAATCCCTACGGCTCCTGAGCACCTCAATAATAGGGAAGGAGTCCGGATCCGCAGTAACCGGAATCGGGACGAAAGTCGGGACCTTCATAACAACTGCCGTGCTCCAGGATCCATTCCAACACTCAGACAAGACACATGTACAATTAGAACAGTCAATCATTTCCGATTCTGTAGTATTGGTATCATTGATCAAAAGGAACAGAAACGGAGAATGAAGACAGACTGCTGCAGAGGGCAGTGTAGCATTGGACACCTGAGAATTGTATGAAATGTTTTTAAGCCTCCTACCATTATCAGTGTCCTGTACAAAGCCAGACACATTAAACAGCCAACTCTGGACTCCTCTCAATTAAGCCAGAGCAGAGACATCGGCTGTGGCCCCCTTTTCATTGGAAATCAACCATTGAAACCAGGATCAACTCGCTCCTATAGAGGAATTATTGTTGGAAGAATTATACAAGTACCTTTTGAGAGAGGGGGAAAGGGAAAAACCTTTGGCGACCTGATGTTTCTCCCAAGAGTGATCTTGACAAGGTGTAAATATAGGAGGGAAGCCATACTCAGGGGTGCAATAAGGAGAAGCCTTAAAATGAGTGGCATTAGAGGTCTCATTAGAAGGAGACAACGGAATTAACACCTGGGAAGTAATGGCCAAAGTGGTTATATTAAACTCAGATGTATTTGTCGGGACTCTTCTTGTCAGGCGTTCTGGAACCCACACCGGCTCCGTCTGGTCCCGGCCCCCGGCGGCGCTCCGCTTTCTCCGCAGCGTGAGCCCGCTCCGCAGCAGTGCAGGCAGGTCCTTCAGCCGCGGCCGCAGCGACGCCGGCGGCTGCTCGCGCTCCGGCTCGCGGGCGCTGGGACTGCGGCGCAGAGCGCTGTCCGCCGCCGCCACCGCCGCGGCCAGGGCCGGGTTCTCGCACGGCGGCTGCATCTTGACTGAGCCCACCGCCATCCTCATGCCCAGACCGCGGCCGCGGCCCCGGCAGCTTCTCTCAAAAACATCTGCAAAGTGCTCTGCTTTACCTTAAGTCCTTTTGAACGTAGCAACCCATCTAGGGCCAACAAAATTGGGCTTGAAGAAGTAGCGCCCATAATGTTTTTAGAGCTATAAAGAAAGTGAAAGTACAAAAATCCCCGCTCTCTTCCTTTTACAGGGGAGCGTTCCGTTCTATGAATTCCCCGCTCTCTTCCTTTTACAGGGGAGCGTCCTTTTTCCCGCTCTCTCTCTATTTACAGAGAGAGCGCCCCGCTATTTGCTTGCGGATTCCCACTTTACCTGGGAACTTACCAGTGCACCACCCTGACTGCTGAAAGTTCTGGATCCTGGGTTCGAGGAATATAATTCCCCGTACGGGCCACCAATTGTCGCGACCCCTCGCCGGCAAGGGAAAACACGACACAGGATTCTTCTTTCAGCAGTTTATTCAGGCCTTGTTTCATGTATCATCTTCTAGTGACCCCCCCACCGAGCGCCCAAGCACAGCCTAATAAAGCCTCCCGCATACCAATCCCAAGCTGCCACGTAGATCTCTCTCATAGGGTGGTAAGGGATTGCGCGCCAACTCTCCAAAAAAGGAGTTGTTTATCACAGGCCACAGTGGAAGCCGGCGCCATCTTCTAATGGCGGCCACGGTCTATAAGAATGGCTTACCACACAATCCATCAGCAAAATCTGTTGTCTCTACTTTTAAAAACCATACATAATTTGACCGTTCCTTGTCACTTCTACTACTTCTGTTTGATTCAAGCCATCATCATCTCTCACCTGTACTACTGTCCTAGAGTATAAATCAACACTGCAATCAGACTAATGACTTTAAAAGCTATATAACTTCTCTGGTTGAACTCTTCCATGGTTCGCCATATTTACCACAAATCCTTACATTGGCTTATGATGACCCATTCCTACTTGTCACATTGCATGTCCTTTCATTCTCTCCTCCTTACTCATACTGTCCCAGCCACACTGGCTGCCAGCTAACAAGTTAGGCCTGCTCCTGTGTCAGGGTTTTTTTTCTCTTGCTACTACTCTGTGTGAAAAGCTCATTTGCAAAGCCAGAGGGCTGCTTGGCTTACCACTTTTTTTTCTTCGAGTTTTTAAAAATAGCTTTTGTTTTTTAAAAAATTAATTATGTGCATTACAGGAAACAGAAAAACAGAAGCAAAAAGCAAAGTCATCAAGTCACAAGCAGCTTAGTTGGATATGTCATGCATATACATGTACAACATCCTATTTTGTGTGATTGAGATCATGTGTGTATCATGCTTTTCCACACATCCAAGAATATTCATCAATTCAAAATCCCAAACTATATCAGTATTTTTGGTAAATAAGAATACACTATACCAATTCAATCTGTTAAAAAAATTGCAATCCTTTCTTGGGGACAAAAATTTCACTGAAGACAGAAATGGCAACAGGCCTCCAGATAGACATATTGGCAGAGTTATAACTAAAACAATGCAGTCTCTTAATGCTCAATTTAAAATAAGACAAAGCAACAGAATATACCAAGCATGTTTTTAAGAGCATTCATTATCAGATTTCTACTACTAAAATATTAGCAAGAATGCATGTTTCCAGAATTAAAGTATTCCTATAGTTCAGTCAGAGATGCATACACATCAGTGGATCACATCAAAATGTAGACCCTTGAGCTCTTGATTCCATCTCTCCCTGTGTGCTTCCTTCTGCCTATCTGCTGTAGCCTAATAAACAAGTCCTGATATGCACTTCCCAAAGATAAAACAAAACCAAGATGCACCTTTTCTATCAATTATAACAAAAAGATATTTATAAGTTGGCTGATTCACTAGCTCTACTTTTTATGATACACTGTCACCTCAGGACATTTAGAAAGCTTAGATGTTGTGAAATAAAGTATAAACTTTGTGCACAATAAACACAAGTACTTTACCAAAAATGCATGTATAGATCTATGGTTATAACCTAAAACTTTAGAACACTTCCCCTCACACTTTCTCTTCTCCCTCTTCACCATTCCAGTGACTGAGTTCAGGACTACCCCCAGCTCCAAGAGGTGGATTAACAAAGGTTATTCCCAGAAGATAGTTCTTCCTAAAAACTAATAAAATTATATTTATGTAGGGATTATTTTGCTACTTCTAAAAAACTTTGGGCATTAAACTTATTCTTTAATACCTAGTAATATTAACTAAAATGTACATATAACAATGGCTAGACAAACTGAACTAATCTAAGGGGCACAAATTACTTCTCTCTGCATACTTCTCCTCCCCCCACTCACCATCAAGTGAACCTTCAACATAATATCTAAGATACCAAGTTTAACAATTAATTCCATTCCCCTAAATGTTTGCCACCTTCTTTAGGTCTTCAGATCTCCTCTTCACAGTGAAGACTAACTTCCCTGTTTAAAACAGCAGCAATGCCTCTGCCCCTCCAAAACACACAGCATGTGTTAATACTCCCTCTTCCTGGCTTTATTTTCCCTTGTAGCACTTTCACCATCTGACATACTAACTATTATAGATGGCTTTTTGTCTGGTTTCTCTACTGCTATAGGCACAGAATTTGGTACATAGGAGGCACTTAATAAATATATTGAATGAATGAATATTCTTGTCCTGATTATTCCATCAATTTGTTCTGAACTATTTAATCTGAGCATTAGTTGGATCTTGATCTTATAGATTACTTAGTTTTTGTGAGCAGCTCCAGGATAAGAAACAGTGCCAGAAAGAAAAAAAAAATTACAATCAGTGCACTTTTCACAATGGTTCAGAACTCCAGGACACACTAATCAGCTTGGATTCCAATACCCAGCCTCCTTGACCCAAAACTGTGGGCTTTCCTGTTGAGCCTACCTGTCTTTCCTCTCAGAGACAGCCTACATCTGTAGATACTCTGGATGCACTCTTAGAACCTTTGCTTAGTTTACTGGCTACCACCACCACCATCCTTGTTCCCAGTCTGTCCCCAATATCCTCACACTCACCATCAAGTCTTTCTCGATCTCTTCATAAACAGTTGATAATTTAATTTCCCTGTCTTTCACAGACAGACACGCCTCATTGTGCTTCTTTCTCCAGGTCTGGAAGAATTTATCATCCAGCTCTCGGTAGGCCACCATGAGGGTGCGAAGACCTTCGCTGGCAAAATCCTGGAAGATATTTGTGTGTACCAAGTCTAGTCTAGGTTAATGCTGAGTTTAAAAAGTGAAAGATTGACCCCAGAAGCTCCATCTGCCTGCTAAGTAGGATTTAATGGTTAGTACCATGGGATTAGTGCTTAGTCTAAGCAAAAAGCCACTCTTGAACTTCCTCAGCAAAATGTCCCAAGGATGGGGCCAGCATAAACTAAAATATTGAGAATAGTTCTAAGAGAGAAGGTTCTAACCTTTAGCTATAGTTTACCCAGAGTTAGCTATAATTTACTATGTGATTCTGGGGAAAACTAAGACTTCTAGTTTTTTTATAAAATTGGGATAATAATTCACCTTCTACAGAGAGGCTAGTAATGACTGTGGCATGAAAATGAAGGGAAAGCTGGGCATGGGGCACACACCTGAAATTCCTGCAGCTCAGGAGGCTGAGGCAGGAGGATCATGAGTTCAAAGCCAGCCTCAGAAACTTAGTGAGGCCCTAAGCAACTTATTAACACCCTGTATCAAAATAAAATTTTAAAAGGGCTAGGAATGTGACTCAGTGGCAGAGCACCCTTGTGTTCAATCTCTGGTACCAAAAAAAAAAAGGAATAATAAAGTAAAAAGAAGGAGTTCTCATAAAAAACAATTAATGGTGTTACTGTTCTTTTTCAAGCATACATTCATTTTAATTTTTCTTCTTTCCTCCCTCCACCAAATACTCAATGGACATCTTACATAGCACATGCTTATGTAATTGTCTCCATCAGTTGATTAGCTACAGCCAGCTGTGTTAACAAGGCCATTGTTGAAATATTCTTAGGTGAGGTAGCATGTTTTTACTGTTTGGCCACTGTTATAGCCTGACTAACCATAGCTAAGCATCTGCAGGATGGTCATAAGGAAGGCTGGGTGAAAATATGGGTGGTTTAGGACAAAACTAATATACATGCAAGTGTGGGTTAGAAACAGATTTTTTGTAGGGAGAACTGCACATGAGCAATAATTCTAGATTATTGCCACTATAGTAAACTACAAAATAATTCATGTTGGCATTATAAAAGCAAAGAGAAACATAATTTGAATTATAAGAATTCCATGTGTAATTCATGAGTGTTTGATATTGACTGTCAGGTGAAATTAATAAAAAGCAATATATGTAAGGAATGTCAACTCTTAAACTTCTGTCCTGTTGGCAGCCTGAGAAGATCTCAGGACACTTGTGTGTTTTTTTTTTTTTTTGTTTGTTTGTTTTGTTTTTGTTTTTGGTACTGGGGATTGAACCCAAGGGTACTTTACCACTGAGCTATATCCCTGGTCCTTTTCATTTTTTGTTTTGAGATAGGGTCTTGCTAAGTTTCTGAGGGTCTCACTAAGTTGTTGATGCTGGCTCTGAACTTGGTATCTTCCTGTCTTAGCCACTGGAATTACAGGCATTCACCAGTGCATCCAGCTCAGGAAACTTCTTAAGAAGGATATGATAGTGGCAGAAACTGATTTTGTATTGGATAAGGATAAAAGCACTTGACAAGCTTAATAAAACACTGACAGATTCAGTAATCCATTCAACTAATAATTTAGCACCATGCTTTAACATTACCTTTTTTATACCTTTATTTTATTTACTTATTCTTATGTGGTGCTGAGGATCAAATCCAGGGTCTTGCACATGCTAGGTGAGTGCTCTACTGCTGAGCCACAACCCCAGCCCAACATTATCTTTTATCCCTATATATATGTTTTTCTTCTCTCTTGGTACTGGGGTGAACAAACCAGGACCTGGGGCCAAATATTGTCTGCCCCCTGTTTTTTGTTTGTTTATTTTTGTTTTTTTCAGTTGTTAATGGACCTTTATTTTATTTATTTTTATGTGGTGCTGAGAATCAAACCCAATGCCTTACACATGCTCGGCAAGTGCTCTACCACTGAGCCACAACCTCAGCCCTATAATCTATTTTTGTGTGATCTGTTTGCTGATCCCTGGCTTAGAGGCCCTGGAGCTGTTCTTCTGCATGAGTGGGTTATTGAAGCTTGACTCTTATAGGTTTGGTATTAGTGGTTAGTATAGTGTAGTCAGGCCTCACTGTAAGTGTCTATTAAGGTGGTAGTAGGAAGCATGTCAAAATATCTAAAACGGTTTTATGAGTTAAGTCTATGCTTAACTTTCTGAGGAAATGCAATTTGATTGTTTTCCAAAATGGCTATGTCATTTTACTTTTCCATCAGTGATGTATAAAGTTTACAATTTCTCTAAACCCTTGCCAACTCTTATTATTGTCTAGTCATCTTTTTTATTTTAGCCATTGTAGTGGGTATAAAGTGATATTTCATGTTTTTTATTTGCATTTCCTTAATGACTAAAGATGTTGAATGTCTTTTTTTAAAGTTTTTTTTTTAGTTGTTTTATTTATTTATATGCAGTGCTGAGAATCAAACCCAGTGCCTTACACATGCCAGACAAGTGTGCTATGCTACCACTGAGCCACAACCCCAACACCTGTTGAACATCTTTTAATATACTTATTGGATATCTTTTCTTTGACTTCTGGCTATATATTAATGTAGAGTCATCTTTAAATAGCCAAATCAAACAGAATTTTCTTCAATCTATTTACCTTATTTTATATATATAAAAAATATATATAAATATAAATATATATTTATATTTATATATATTTTCCCCTAATTATTTATATATATATATATATATATATATATATATATATATATATAAATATATATTATTAGGGGAATAAGGAGAGAACAAAGGGCAGGATAGAGAGTGGTTCAGATTATATATATATATTCAGATTATATATATATTCCAAATATATATATTCAGATTATATATTATATATTATAATATACATAATATAATATATATATATAATCTGAAACACTCTCCAACCTGCTCTTTGTTCTCTCCTCATTCCCCTAATCTTTTGTACACCCATGCTTAGGTGTAGAGATCCCAGATGTATAGATCTGTTTTTCTTTTCTCATGCCAGCAGCTGGAACCAGTCTCTTTTTGATGTATACCAAATACTACAGGGCAGAAGAAGAACAAGATAGGGAGAAAGGAGGTGCCCTTGGGGATTCTAATCCTGTAGACAACAGAGGGAGATATCAAATAGCCTCCTCAGAATCTCAGGCCAGGTACTCTCTGCTCCTGTTTTCATCATGGCTTGTGGATAAGGCCTCCCATATCAGCAGGTCCTCTTCTGAAACAAACACCAGATCTGACCATGGGACCTCTTAAAGGAGGACTACTCAGGACTGAACAATTCTGATTACTTTAAGTGTTCCCATAAATACAATTCTTGTCATGCCTATGGGATACTGTCCCACTCAACTTCTATGTCAAAGGACATAGAAGTTGGCAATATCGTCAGTAAAAATACCACAGAATGAGACAGTTTTAGTTTTCTACCAACTAAAGAGACACAGATACCAGTATACACCCATAGAATGAAACAGAGCTCCTGAGCTGAGAGAATAAAAACTATCCCTTGGCTCAGCAATGCCAAGGAAGCTGAAACTGCTATTTTCACTGTCCAGTATAGCCTAGCTACATCTACATACCACCTGGCTTTTGTTTCTATAAATTATAACCACTTCTGTGGGACTTGCAGAGAAGCAGTCTAGCTGCTGCTCCTCAGTTTGATCAGATGGCATAAAATTCATTTTTCCATTGTTTGTCTATTTTTTATGCAGGTGGGTAGCTGAATCTGGCCAGCTGTGATCCAAGTAGATTCCTTGGCTGCTGGTAACAACAGAAATACATTGACATGGGGACACATTTGTGGACATGTGTCCAGATGCACCATTCCTCTCCTGAAGTCTAAAGACTTACATCCAAATGTTCCATGGTCACTTTATTAAGGGCTACACAGGAACGATGAAGCAGCTCACAGATGATGGTGTCTGCTCCCTTGCAGAACAATATTACCCGATTTTCAGGAGTCCGCACTAAAGATAAATTAAGCAAAACAACCATTTAAGCCTATTGTTATAAGAAATTATCTGGGCCACTGAGGATTGGCAAGAGGCTATTTCCCATGACATTTGTTTGTGTTGCCTTTGGAGGCTAAGAACTCAATGAGTGGTCACATAGGATAAATGATATGGTGAGGGCTGGTGAGAGCAACAAAGGCATCTATGGAAGGCGTTTAATATCACTTGTGGAAGACTCTGATGCAGAATGACATTTAGCTTATCAATTCCAAGTCTCAGACCAAAGCCCAACTTAGTAAGGACAAAAGATGAAAAATGACCTTCTTTCTCTTCAGTCTGAGGCCAAACTGATAGAGGAAGCCAGATAGTATAAATTTTCTCATACAATCATTTTTCAGTATCCTAGGGTATTGGATACCCATCCTTGTGGATACCAAAATCCACAGATGCTTGATTCCCTTATATAGAATAACATAATGTTTGCATATAACCTACAAACATACTCCTATATTATATATATATATATATATATATATATTTTTTTTTTTTTTTTTTTGGACAGGGAAGGTACTGGAGATTGAACTCAGGGGTACTCAACCACTGAGCCACATCCCCAGGCCTATTTTGTATTTTATTTAGAAACAGGGTCTCACTGAGTTGCTTAGTGCCTTGCTTTTTCTGAGGCTGGCTTTGAACTCTCGATCTTCCTGATCTTCCTGCCTCAGCCTCCCGGGGAAGCTGGGATTACAGGTGTGGGCCACCATTCCCAGCACCTGTATACTTTAATCATCTCTAAATTATGATGCCTAATGCAATGTAAGTACTATATATAAATAGTTATAATACTAAATTGTTTAGAGAATGTGACAAGAAAAAAGTCTGTACATTTTCAGTACAGACAGAACTTGTTTTTTTTTTTTTCTTTCTTTTTGGTGCAGAGATTGATTCTCAGGCCTTATTCATGAAAAGCACACTAAGTTACCAATAAACTATGCCCCCAATCCAGATGCAACTTTTTTTTTTCAAATATTTTTAATCTATAGTTGTTTGAGTCTGATATGGAACCTAAGAGGGCTGACTGTATTATTTGCTTCCATTTCTTACACCATGTTCAGGCTTTATGAATTTATTCTATGTTCTTATTTGACTTTGAGGGTGCTGACAAGCCACTACTCAGAAACATTAGAGAAGGATTTATTAGTACATGGTAGTGAGCTCCCTTACATGAATGAGAGAAAATTCAAAAGAGATAAGACAAAGTGGGAATGGATGTGTGTTTATATTTGAGGCACTATACCTGTGAGAAGACACATGAGTGGGAGAAGACATCTGTGTGTAGATGAAAGAGAAAGTCAATTGTGAATATGTATAAAGGAGAGAGAGAGAGAGAGAGAGAGAGAGCGAGCGCGAGCGAGCTGACTAGAAGGGACACCCACCAATAACAGACATCCTCTTGCGCACATTGTTGAAGTCCAAAATAGCCAGCAGCTGATAGACTCTGGTTTTTCCCATTTCAACCACTGTGATAGTCTCAGACGTGCGGGAACGGAACACAAAGCCAAGGTTTCTGGCAGCAGTGACCAGGGCACCTTCATCTGGGGACTGAGCCTGGTACACCAGCTCACCTGACAGGAGAGAAGAGGGCAACTAGAGCCCACAGAGATGAGCTGCTGAAGTCCACCCAGAAGTGACACTGTCTTCCAAGTGGCTTAAATAAAGATGGAGCCCAGGAGGGTACATCTTTCCTCAAAACTTCTTCACAAGTCTGGTGCTAAAAGGGCAGGTTGCATAAAACATGTCAATCTCTTTTCCTTTCCAATATTTCCAACTTGTTTCATAGACCTGAGTTAATATCACACAGGTAAATGATATTTGCAATGTATACAAACAAAACAGGCATTCCGTTCCAACTTTATGGGTAAAGATGGTTCAGAGAGCTTATTAAAAATGAGGTTCCTGGGCCCCACTCAAACGTACTGAATCCACAATCACAAAATTTGGAAGAAGGACCTAGGAAGTTGAATTTTTAATAAATCTCTTAGTGGATTCTCATGTGTGTGGCATAAATTGCTGCAGAAGACTGGCCACACTTGGCTAAACACTGCTATGCAAGATAAAAGACAGATGATTTAGTAAGCAGTTTAAAATAAATGTGTAGATGCATATTATCACCTTTAACTCACCCTGAGAAGTTAAATGACTCACTCTGTTGAATCAGCTTTCAATCTGGTATTAATCAGGATATTTCTAGAACTCCTTTGTTAGACTATTATCACAACATGTATCTTTTTTTTTGGCTATTTCTCTTCTGAAGGTCAATTTGATTTTTAAAACAGGCATCATCAGAGTCTTATACTTGTGAACATGGAAGGTAAGGGGATAATTTTAGGTCAGACATAAGAAATATCTACTGGACAATTGAGGCCAAATATGCTTTAAATAATAGCATCTTGTTGCAATGGCAGACACAAAGAAACATGATGGGGAGGCTGCTATGGTCACAGGGCCAGGAGATAAGAAATTTGGATTCTTATCTCTACCCTTCAGGGTTTTTGTTGTTGGTGGTAGGGGGGATTGAATCTAGAGATGTCTTGCCATTGAGCTATATCCTCAACTCTTTTTTTGTTTTGAGACAAGGTCTCAGTAAGTTGCTTAGGGCCTCTCTATAGTTTGCTGAGGCTGGCTTTGAACCTGTGATCCTCCTTTGGCTTCCCAAGTCGCTGAGATTACAGGTGTGCACATGCCACTGCACCTGGTTTATCTCTAACCTTCTGAACTACAGGATTTTAGGCAAGTAACTTAATCTCTTTTTAAAAATCAATTTCTTTTTTTTTTTTTTTGTAATTGTTTTTGTAGTTGTAGATGGACAGCATGCCTTTATTTTGTTTATTTTTATGTGGTGCTAAGGATTGACATGCTAGGCAAGTGTTCGGCCACTGAGGCACAACCCAAGCCCACAATCTCTTTCAACTTTAGTTTCCTTCTCAGTAAGATTGGGATCATGTTTTCTGTTCTGCCTCAGAACAATAACCTCAGAGGGTTATTGTAAAGATCATAGAAGATAAATGAAAGCTATTTATAAAACTGTAAAGTAACATAAATATAGGGCATTACTGGTGGTAATATTAAGAGACTATTGACTTTAAAGTACACTATTCATTTGGTTGTGTACATTCGCTCTCTCTTTTTTAAGTATGGAGATTGAACCCAGCGGCACTTCACCACTGAGCCACATCCCAACCCCTTTTTCTTTTTTTATTTTGAGACAGGGTATTGCTGAGTTGCTGAGGATCTCACTAAGTTGCTGAGGCTGGCCTCAAACTTGGGATCCTCCTCCCAAGTCACTGGGATTATAGGTGTGTACCACCACACCCAGCTATATATTTTTCTTGTTAAGAAAAAAATCTTAATTTATAATCATTCATTTCTCATTATTTTTTGAAAAATTTTGGATAAATTAATCAATGATTTTGCTACATTTGGTTACTGAAATAACTAATATAAACTAGATGTAGTAGTATACACATCTGCAATCCCAGCTACTGGTTAGGCTGAGGTAGAATGATAACATTCAACTGTCAGCCTGGGTAACAATATAGCAAGACCCTGTGTCAACAAAAGCAGCCAAAAAAAGAAAAAGAAAATAAGAGGACAACTAAACTCATTATTTAGAAAGTCTTGTCAGAGATGGTAGGATTACTCTTGGGGACAATTCAGAAGTTCCCTAAATGGCATTAAGTGTGAACCCTGTTCAATGACTGAATCTTTCTTTAAACCAAGAGGTATCCAACTGAGCATGGAGGTGCATGCCTATAATCTCAGCAGCTCAGGAGGCTGAGGCAGGAGGATCAAAAGTTCAAGGCCTGCCTCAGCAATTTAGCAATTTTGTCTCAAAATGAAAAATTTAAAAAAGGGCTGGGGATGTGGCTGAGTGGTTAAGCACCCCTGGGTTTAATCCCTGGTACCAAAGAAACAAACGAAAGTCCCCCAAAACCAAGAGGTGGTTTCTTATTTGAGTATCTCCCAGCTAATTACTTATCTTGACTACATGTTCTATTGCAGGACAATACTCCCTGTTGGAAAGTTCTTTTTCAGATTAAGCCATACAAATCATATCAAACCACCTCACCTCCAACCCACCTACACTATGACACATTCTCAGTCCATGAAGCCTCAGGCCTCCCTCACCTTCTACTTTCTCTTGTGACATCACAGTATGACATAATGAGAGGGAGAGGAAAAACAAATGCACCCGGTAATCTCCTTTTTTTACTGCTTCCACCAAAGTCTTGTCATTAAATGGAAAGGCAGGACTGGCCAGCTTTTTGAAGTTATCTTTTTCTTTCTGGAACATATAAGCCAGAACAAAGCTGTCAATAGCTTGACATTTTATAGATCAACTTGGGGGTAGTTTCTGGAATGTGATGAGAACTCTTGAGAAGGGAAAAGCAAGATAAATACTGTGCTGGTTTCTCAGGTACTTACAGCTCTCACTTGAACTATCCAGTTGCTTGGGCCACAAGAGATCCTTCCCACAGGAGACAAGCTGAGCACTACCTGGCAGACTCTTTTTTTTTTTTTTTATTTGCTGTTTTTAGATATACATGACAGTAGAGTATATTTTGACATATTATACATACATGGAGTACAACTCCAATCAGGATTCCATTCTTGTGGTTGTGCATAATACACACTAGTCCATGTATTCATTTAGGAGCAAAGGAAAGTTATTTCAGATTAATTCTGTCTTTCCTATTTATAACCCCTCCTCCCTTCCCTTCATTTCCCTTTATCTAATCCAATGAATCTATTCCTCCCCTCCCTACCCTCCCTTGTTATGGGTTAGTATCCACATATCAGAGAGAACATTCAGCCTTTGGGTTTTGTTTGGGGTTTTTCTGAGACTGGCTTATTTCACTTAGCATGATATTTTTCCAGTTCCATCTGTTTGAGGGCAAATGCCATAATTTCATTTTTTATGGCTGAGTAATAATTCCATTATGTATATGAACCACATTTTCTTTATACTTTCATCTGGTTCCATAGCTTGGCTACTGTAAATTGAGCTGTTATAATTATGTGGCTGCATCTCTGTCCTTTAAGTATAAACTGAGGAGTGGGCCATTGGATCAAATGGTGGTTCCATTAAAAGTTTTCTAAGGAATTTCCATACTGCTTTCTAGAGTGGATGCACCAATTTGTAGTCCCACCAGCAATGCATCAGTGAACCTTTTTCCCCACATCCACACCAATGTATCCTTAGTAATTGCCATTCTGACTGGAGTGAGATGGAATCTCAATGTAGTAATGTAGTTTTAATTGGCATTTCTCTAATTGCCATTCTGACTGGAGTGAGATGGAATCTCAATGTAGTAATGTAGTTTTAATTGGCATTTCTCTAATTGCTTCTTCTGTGCAGTGCCTATTCAGTTTCTTTGCCCATTTATTGATTGGGTTATTTGTTTGGTGTTGAGTTCTATGTATATCCTGGAGATTAATTAATGCTCTAGCTGAGGTGCAGAGAGCAAAGATTTTTCCCATAGGCTCTCTCTTCACGTCTTTGTTTCCTTTGTTGTGAAATTTTTTAGTTTGATACCATCCCATTTACTGATTCTGGTGCTTTTGGAGTCTTGAGGAAAGTTGAACCGACATGATCGAGAGTTGGGCCTACATTTTCTTCTGGTGGGCACAGGGTCATTGGTCTAAGGCTTAGGTCCTTGATCTATGAGTTGATTTTTGTGCAGGGTGAGAGGGGTTGAATTTCATTCTGCTATATATGGATTTCCAGTTTTTCCAGCACCACCTGTTGAAGAGGCTATCTTTTCTGCAATGTATGTTTATGGTGCCTTTGTCTAGGATGAAATAACTGTATGTGGTACGCCACCTGTGACACTACTGGAGTGGTCTTTTACTCAGTACTGACCCATGGGGACTTAGATCTCCCCTTGGGAAGGATCCCCAGCATTCCCGTGTGTAGACTGCCCAAGGTGTGAGATTTCTGCCCTCGCTCTACCAATGGGACAGCTCTCATAGCTCTGGACTTGGGCGTTTCCATTAGGCTTGGACAGCCCACCTCCTACCTTATTTGGCAAAAGAACATTCCATTGAATTCCTTTTGAAGCCCCCTTGTATAAATAAAGTGGGTTCTTGTGCTCTCTCTCTTTCCAGTGTGGAAGCTTGGCCCATAAGGTCATAAAGCAGTCCTGCCCCCGCTTTCTAAAAAATTACTTCCCTATTGTGTGGTCTTTTCACCGCCAGCCTTCGCCACGCAGATGAACTGTTTCCACTGCCTGAGCAGGACGTGAGCGACTGTATTTATGTGGGTTTGTCTCTGTGTCTTCTTTTCTGTTAATATAACTCTGTAGTATAATTTAAGGTCTGGTATTGTGATGCCTCCTGCTTTGCTTTTCTCGCTAAGGATTGCTTTGGTTATTCTGGGCCTCTTATTATTCCAAATGAATTTCATGATTGCTTTTTCTATTTCTGTGAAGAACATCATCAGAACCTTAATAGAAATTGCATTAAATCTGTATAGCACTTTTGGTAGTATGGCCATTTTGACAATATTAATTCTGCTATCCAAGAACATGGGAGATCTTTCCATCTTCTAAAATCTTCTTCCATTTCTTTCTTTAATGTCCTATAGTTTTCATTGTAGAGGTCTTTCACCTCTTTCATTAGATTGATTCCCAAGTTTTTAATTTTTTTTGAGGCATTATGAATGGGACAGTTTTCCTAAATTTCTCTTTCAGCTGCTTCGTCATTGGTATATAGGAACACAGTTGATTTATGGGTGTTAATTTTATACCCTGCTACTTTGCTGAATTTTTTATGAGTTCAAGAAGCTTTCTAATGGATTTTTTTTGTTTTCTCAATATAGAATCATGTCATCAGCAAATAGGGATAGTTTGAGCTCTTCTTTTCCTATCTGCATCCCTGGATTGAACCCCACTTGATTGGTGCATTGTCTTTTTAATTTCTTTGTCTAATTGCTCTGGCTAGGGTTTTAAGGACTCTGTTGAATAGAAGTGGTGAAAGTGGGCATATTATGTGTCTTGTTCCAGTTTTAAGAGGGAATGCTTTCAATTTTCAACCATTTAGAATGATGTTGGCCTTGGGTTTAGCACATATAGCTTTTACAATGTTGATGTATGTACCTACCATCCCTAGTTTTTCTAATGTTTTGAGCATGAATGGATGTTGAATTTTGTCAAATGCTTTTTCTACTTCTATCAAGATAATCATGTGATTCTTGTCTTTAAGTTGACTGATGTGATGAATTACATTATTGATTTCTGTATGTTGAACCAACCTTGCATCCCTGGATTTGAACCCCACTTGATTGGTGCATTGTCTTTTTAATATGTTTTTATATGTGATTTGCTAGTATTTTGTTAAGATTTTTTTTTAATACTTATTTTTTAGTTTTCAGTGGACACAATATTTTTATTTATTTATTTTTTTAAATGTGGTGCTGAGGATCGAACCCAGCGCCCCGCGCATGCCAGGAGAGCGCGCTACCACTTGAGCCACATCCCCAGCCCCTTGTTAAGAATTTTTGCATCTATTTTCTTGAGGGATATTAGTTTCAAGTTTTCTTTCATTGATGTGTCTTTTTGGTAACAGTGTGATACTAGCAGTGTGATACTCATAGAATGAGTTTGGAAGGGTTCCCTTCTTTTCTATATTGTGGAATAATGGGAGGACTATTGGTATAATTTCCTCATTGAAGATCTGGTAGAACTCAGCTGAGAATCCATCTGGTCCTGGGCTTTTCTTTGTTGGTAGGCTTTAGATGGCATCTTCATTGCTTGAAATTGATCTGTTTAAATTTTCTATGTCTCTTGATTCAATTTGGATAGGTCATATGTCTCTAGAAATATGTGGATGTCTTCATGATTTTCTCTTTTTTTGGAGTATAGATTTTCAAAGTAGTTTGATTATTGTCTGTATTTCAATAGTGTCCATGGTGATATTTCCTTTTTCATCACAAATATTAGTAATGTGCATTTTCTCTTTCTTCATTAGCTTGGCTAAGGGTTTATCCATTTTATTGATTTTTTCAAAGAATCAACTTTTTGTTTCATTGATTTTTTTGAATTTTTTTTTCTGTGTGTGTGTGTTTCAATTTCATTGATTTTAGCTCTGATTTTAATTATTTTCTGTCTTCTGCTTTTCTTGATTTGTTCTTCTTTTTCTAGGGCTTTGAGATGTAATGTTAGGTTATTTATTTGGTGACTTTCTATTCTTTTAAATAATGTGCTCAGTGCAATGGATTTTCCTCTTAGAACTGCCTTCATAGTGTCCCAGAGATTTTGATAACTTGTGTTGCTATTCTCATTACCTCTAAGTATTTTTTTTAATTTAATCTCTGATTTCTTCTTCAATCCATTGGTCATTCAATAGTGCATTTTTTAGTCTCCAGGTGGCTTTTATTTTTTATTTTATTGTTGATTTCTAATTTCATTCCATTATGATCTGAAAGAATGCAAGAAATTATCTCTATTTTTTTGTATTTGCTGAGAGTTGCTTTGTGGCCTAAGGTATGGTCTGTTTTAGAGAAGGATCCATGTGTGGCTGAGAAAAAAGTATATTTAGTCATTGAGGGATGAAAAATTTTATATATGTCTGTTAAGTCTACATTATTGTGTTTTTCAGTTCTATAGCTTCTTTAATTTATGTTTGGAGGATCTATCTAGTGATGAGAGAGGTGTGTTGATGTCATGCAGTATTCTTGTGTTGTGGTCTATTCAACTCTTAAAATTCAGAAGGGTTTGTTTGATGTACTTAGGTGCCACACTGTTTGGGTCATAAAATTTACGATTTTTATGTTTTGTTGATGTATAATTCTCTTAAGGGGTAGGAAATGACCTTCTTAGTCCCTTCTGATTAACTTTGGCTCAAAGTCCACTTTATCTGATATGAGGATAGAAACCTCTGCTTGTTTATGAGATCCAGGTGAATGATATATATTTTTCCCTCATCTTTTCACCTTTAGTCCATGGGTGTCTTTGCTTATGAGGCGAGTCTCTTGGAGACAGCATATTGCTGGGTCTTATTTCTAATCCAATCATGGCAGACCCTTCTTGTTCCACTTTTACCCCAGATATTCTGAATGACTTACAGCTATCTTTAAACTCTCAAATCTTATCCAATAATCAAACCTGAGGATGTGAGGAGGTAAACACTCCCTATTCTTTTTTTAAAATATTTTTTTTTTGTTATGGATGGGCCTTTAATTTATTTAAAGTGCAGTGCTGAGAATTGAATCCAGTGCCTCACACACAAGGCAAGCCCTCTACCACTGAGCTACAACCCCAGCCCAACATTCCGTATTCTTAAGTGATGTTTGGGGAGAGTCTTGTTTCTCATTGTCTTCTGCCTGACTGGGGAGCTGAGAAGGGAACAGAGTGCTAAGTACAGTGGCATCACTGTGTTGCACTATTTTTGCCCCACAGGACAAAAGAGGGCTAGAAACAGTAGATGACAGTTCAAATAAACCACTTCTCAGTTGCCAGTCTTTGCTCATATTAAAAACAACTCACAAATGATTAGCTTTTATATCTAATCTCTGATTATTAAAATGTTTATAAAGTTTATTTTTGCCAAAGAGATGCAATTCATTATGATAAAGTATTGCAGAATAAACCTTATTTTGTAACATTTAAAAAAATAGGAATAGAAAGGAATATTGCAAGACAAAGACAAGGTCTCATGACAAAGAATCTGCAGTACATGATTGTTCACAGACTTAATTTTGCTTTCACTTATCAATATACCTGGTCCTTCCTGTCTCTGACTCTCAAATATCTTAGAGATTATAGTATGCAGAGTATGAAAGAAATGGAGGAAAATGGATATGTTCTCAGTGAAAGTCATGTTTTAATTTAGACATGGAGAAGAGAGCCTTTTATAAAGAAATTGAAATAGCAATTAAGTTTGTTTATAAGAAAAGAAATTCCAGTGATATACAGCAAAGTGTTCTATGATTAATCAGTAGTGAAAGGAAGAAGAAAGAGAAAGAAACTCCAGGGAGAATTTAATACCTAGAAAGTATAACTTTGTTTACACAGTCAAGGTTGCTTTATGAAAAGAAGTGATTTTCCTTCCCCTTCCAAATCTCTTTGGATGGGTAGGTAAGGTGGACATTGAGAGTAGAGCCAGCTGTAAGTAAGTCAAATGGTTAAGGTTTGGGGTTGGATCTCTATCAGGACAGGGATACAGTAAGGAGTAATCTGGAGGCAAGGGAGGAAGCCCTGTGCAGGAATGCTTAAAATCAACCCATAAACAAAAGCTGATGTCCAATGCTGCAGAAAATAGTAAAAATGAATAGCTAGAGATAGGAAGAGTGCATAAGAAGATTATTTTTATAATTGTATGCGTAAGGACTGTTGAGTTTGTCATGAATCCTAGAAGAAAAAAGATTTAAGATTTGATTACAGGGCTGGGGATGTGGCTCAAGCGGTAGCGCGCTCGCCTGGCATGCGTGCGGCCCAGGTTCGATCCTCAGCACCACATACAAACAAAGATGTTGTGTTGTACAAAGATGTTGTGTCTGCCGATAACTAAAAAAATAAATAAGTATTAAAAAAAAGAATCTATCAACAACAAAAAAAATAATTTAAATAAGTATTTTTTTTTAATATTTTTATTTTTTTTTTAGTTTTCGGCAGACACAACATCTTTGTTTGTATGTGG